TGTGAAGCTAATTTTGGTTAGATATGAAATTCTAGGTTGAAAATTCTTTTCTTTAAGAATGTTGAATATTGCTCCCCACTCTTTTCTGTCTTGTAGGGTTTTTGCCGAGAGATCCACTGTTAGTATGATGGGCTTCCCTTTGTGGGTGACCCAATCTTTCTCTCTGGCTGCCCTTAACATTTTTTCCTTCATTTCAACCTTGGTGAATCTGATGATTATGTGTCTTGGGGTTGCTCTTCTCAAGGAATCTCTTTGTGGTGTTCTCTGTATTTCCTGAATTCGAATGTTGGCTTACCTTGTTAGATTGGGGAAGTTCTCCTGGATAATATCCTGAAGAGTGTTTTCCAACTTGGTTCTATTCTCCCTGTCCCTTTCAGGTACACCAATCAAACATAGATTGGTCTTTACACACAGTCCCAAATTCTTTGGAGGCTTTGTTCATTTTTTTCATTCTTTTTTCTCTAATCTTATCTTCTCACTTTATTTCATTAAGTTGATCTTCAATCAATTTGAAGAATTGAATTGAAGAATTTCCTCTGCTTGATCAATTCAGCTATTGATACTTATGTATGCTTCACAGAGTTCTCGTGCTGTGTTTTTCAGCTCCATCAGGTCATTTATGTTCTTCTCTACACTGGTTATTCTGGTTAGCAATTCATTTAACCTTTTTTCAAGGTTCTTAGCTTCCTTGCATTGGGTTAGAACATGCTCCTTTAGCTCAGAGGAGTTTGTTATTACCCACCTCCTGAAGCCTACTTCTGTCAATGTGTCAAACTCATTCTCTGTCCAGTTTTGTTCCCTTGCTGGTGAGGAGTTGTGATCTTCTGGAGGAGGAGAGGAATTCTAGTTTTTGGAGTTTTCAGTCTTTTGTTCTGGTTTCTCCCCATCTTCGTGGACTTATCTACCTTTGGTCTTTGACACTGGTGACCTTCAAACAGAGTCTTTGAGTGGATGTCCTTTTTGTTGCTGTTGCTACTATTCCTTTCTGTTTGTTAGTTTTCCTTCTAACAGTCAGGCCCATCTTTTGCAGGTCTGCTGGAGTTTGCTGGAGGTCCACTCCAGACTCTGTTTGCCTGCGTATCACCAGCAGAGGCTGCACAACAGCAAAGATTTCTGCCTGTTCCTTCCTCTGGAAGCTTCATCTCAGAGGAGCAGCCACTGAATACCAGCAAGAGCTCTCCTGTATGAGGTGTCTGTTGGCCCCTACTGGGAAGTGTCTCCCAGTCAGGATACATGGGGGTCAGGGACCCACTTGAAGAGGCAGCCTGTCCCTTATCAGAGCTCGAATGCTGTGCTGAGCTTGAATCTGCTGTTATCTTAAGAGCTGTCAGGCAGGGACATTTAAGTCTGCTGAAGCTGTGCCCACAGCTGCCCCTTCCCCCAGGTGCTCTGTCCCAGGGAGATGGGGGTTTTTACCTATAAGTCCCTGACTGGGGCTGCTGCCTTTTTTTTCAGTGATGCCCTGTCTAGAGAGGCAGTCTGCCTGCAGGGGCCTTGCTGAGCTGCAGTGGGCTCTGCCAAGTTCCAAGTTCCTGGTGACTTTGTTTATATTGTGAGGGTAAAACCCCCTATTTAAGCCTCAGCAATGGTGAACGCCTCCCACCACCACCACCCCACAAGCTCAAGCATCCCATGTCAACCTCAGACTGCTGTGCTAGCAGCAAGAATTTCAAGCCAGTGGATCTTAGCTTGCTGGCCTCCATGGGGCTGGGACCTACCGAGCCACGCACCGGAGGTAATCTGGTCTTCCCATTGTAAAGACCATGGGAAAAGTGCAGTATCTGGGCCAGAGCGCACTGTTCCTCCTGGTACAGTCTCTCATGGCTTCCGTTGGCTAGGAATGAGAAATCCCCCAACCCCCTGTGGTTCCCAGGTGAGGTGACACCCCACCCTGCTTTGGCTCACCCTCTGTGGGCTGTACCCACTGTCCAGCCAGTCCCAGTGAGATGAAATGGGTACCTCAGTTGAAAATGCAGAAATCACCCACCTTCTGCATTGTTCTTGTTGGGAGCTGCAGACTGGAGTTGATGCAGTTTCTCAGATATTCCATTTGTTTAGAAAGTAGAGAGCTAGCCAAACATCTCAGACATTAAAGCATGAGCTTCTTTACATGGTGTCCTCTAGAAACTGGCATTTAAGTTAGAATTTGTACTCATGAAATTCTACTCTTCTCTGAATTCAAGTATGCAGAGTCAGAGAATTAATCCCCAGATTCTGAAAGAGCCTTACAGATAGAGTTGTTTCATAGAATCATTCCTAGTAACCTCTGCAAAATCATAAATAATATATTTTAAGAAGCAGAATGTGAAGAAAGACACATGCCTTTATACAAGGAGTCATTTTTAGACTTGAGTACCTGGAATATGCCTGCTTCCATGAAGACAAATAAACAGTACTAATCCGATTTTATTTTTAATAACGTTATTAGGGTTAAAATTATTTAACTTTCCACATACACAGCTTATCTTGATTTTTTAACAACACACAGTATCCATGTAGGCAAGGAAAAGAAATACAAACTCTGGATTCCTACAAAGATATTATCTTAGTAGAATATACAGTTAACCACAATGTATATAATGTACAATTACTAAAGGATCATGTTATCGTGCATTCATTCATTCATTCAACAAATATATACTTACTGAGTCCTACTAAGTTCAAGGTACTATTCTAGGGCTTGTCTTATAGTGATAAAAAATCAGTCACAAATATCTGGCAGAACTCCATTGCTAGTTCACCTTGGGTTCTTTCTGATAGTAAAGGCTGCTTGCTTATTGATAGTTCTCTTTGGAAAGAGATCCCAGGAAACTAAAATGAAATGATGAAGAAGACAGAAACAGGGAAGGAAATAAATGCAATTCAAGGATGCATTATTGAGCTGGTTACCATGTGGGCTCTCCGAGGAACAGTGTAAAAAGCTTCTCCGAATGGTTTATCCTAGGCATGGGAGTGGGGAATTTTAGCCACTGGCTTCCATCTTCTATTGATCAAATATTGCCCAAGGGTGTATTGACTCCCTTGTACTTCCAGGCATACTGTAAACAACATGGCTGTGTGAACACTGTGACCACTGTGTTCCAGCCTGGGCAACTCTGTAATCAATTACATCCACCAGTATAGTAACTTGCTGTTTTACCTACCGGTTTGCTGATGGAAGAAACACAAAGCAATCACCTAGTGGTCATAGCTGTAAGTTTAGGGGAACCTTTACCGTGTGCCCTGGTAGAGGCATTCCTCATCCGCCACCTTCCACCTTTGCCTTTCCTTCCTCTCAAGATCACTAACGAAGCAGAATCTGGAGTTGCAAAAATTCTAAGTTCTGCATTTGTTTCACTGGGAGTTATGGTAAAAGGTCCAATTCTACTTTTACTCCTTAGTGGCCAGGCCAGTGAATTTTAGCTATTGGGAATACAGCACTTTCTATTGACCATGGAGTCAATGTGTGTGTCCCACCCTAGAAAACAAAGCCAAACTTCTAAAGGTGTTAATCTTCAGCTGGCACTGTACCCTTCGATAGGGCATCTGAATCTTCCGTCAGTCTGACTGCTCCTAGGTCCTATGGCGTATGACAGGACTAGTGAAGACTTTGGTCATGTAACACATTGCCCCGCCTCCTTCACCATCAAGAAGAATTTGACCTGAGGTGATCTTATGTAGGATTCCATTGAACAGAGCAGAATCTCTGTAAGTCTTTGCCCTGGCAGGGGGCAGGAATGCAACTCTACATCTGGGATACATGCAATTTTCTTTATAGAGTAATCAGTAGAAGCAGTGGCTAGATCAACCTTAGGAGGTCCATGCTTTGGGTCTGTGCATAGACTCTATTCCTGACTTTGTGCTCATATATCCACTGTGCATAAGCTAGGTGGTTGAGGAGGTTGGCTGATATCCACAGAATAAGTCATCCTTCCTCCCTAGCTGTTGAGTGCTTCTTATGCAGCAGATGTTCTCCTACAGGCATTTATGTGCCAGCAATCCTCCAAACCCTTTGTACTACTCCAATAGGTTCATAAACTTGCCTCAACACAAATTTCACTTTTACTCTCTTCTAGTGTTGCCACTACCAGGCTTCTGCCCATGAAGACAAGCCCAGCAGTTCCATATACTTTTACCTCAGATTACTCTTCTTTGCAGCCAAGATGAATAACCAGGTTTGCTTGCATTTCTGCTCATTGAGAGGATGTTCCTTTACCCCTAGTCTTCAGGCAGGCCCTGGGTGGGGCTGGAGTGATGGCATACTGTTTTATACTTTTACTAACTTATCAGCCAACTGATCCCGTGGACAAAGCTCAGGCTTTTCCCCTTCAGTTAGTTGATTGTAAGGAAGCCCCTGTGAGGCCATGGGTTCCAGCTGAGGTGAATTATCCTTCAGAGTTCTTTGTTTCTTGTTTCTACTCATATTTGGAATGGGCAGTTTGCAAAGATAGAAAGGGAAAACATCAACTAGGTAGATACCACAATAACTAAAGAGTTAAGTATCAAAATTTTAACTAATGAGGTGATGGTAAGAAGTGAAAACATCATCTCTAAGAAATATTGGGCAGATAGAATAGAATGCAATAATTCAAAAGAGGAGGATGCTTTAATGTAAGGAGAAAAGCTGTGAATTTAGCTTTAAATATACTAAGATGGAGGTGGTGAGGGTACTCAACCACAAACCTGCATTCTATGTGCCCAGGATTATTCAAGGTATGTGTCAGGTTCTAACTGAGGTCCGAGGGGAGTCAGTGGGTGAGTGGTGGGTAGCCGGAAAAACACTGGGGGAATGGTAGACAGTTTTGACATGGCTTTACTCTCTCTCTGGGCGTGAGCCATATGTATAGCATCAGCAGGGTAGTTATACCTTTTACAGACAACAGTGGCTCTGAATCAAACACGCGCTCACGTGAGTGGTTACTAATGTGCCTCACGTGGCGTGGTTACATAATGAGCGGAGTTGTGCGAGTGAGCTCCAAACTCACTGAGTGAGGCTGGACCGATGTCTGTTTCAGCCTATTCTTGACTACAGCACATCCATTTTCCTTTACAGCATGTAGTACGTTTTATACCTTTTTCTACAATGAATCTTCTAGGCAGAAATTCCTGTACACATCTTATGAACAAAGAATTTGAGCCTCAACGAGTAAGTACTTTCTCCAGAGTGTAAGATTGTTAATGTCTGTGACCTTCTTTGAAGTGAGGCAAGTAAATACCTCTGAACATGTTTTCTTTTCCTGCTCCTCTTTCTCCTGCTTTTTTCCTTCTTTTTTTCCTCCTCTTCCTGTTATAGGACTAGCAAGTTCACATGACCACTGTACAGTAACAGACCAGTTACACTGAGACAACAGAGTTTGCAGCAGAGAAAGAGTTTAATGCTCACAGGATACCAGGTGAGGAGATGGGAGGAGACCCTCAAGTTCATCTCCCCAAGGAGCATTTGGCTGGGGTTTTTAATGGGATCATGGAGGGTGAGAGGTTGGAGCATTGAGGTTGAGAGTTTGAGATTGTTGACTGATTGGGGTAAGGGGGATAACATCATGAGGATGTGGAAACTGCATTCTTTGGTGAGTCAGCTTCTTGTGGGGTCCTTCAGACCAGCTGATGTCAGTAGTTTCACTGTTTTGCAGGGTTTGCAGGACTTGAAAGAATAGAACTTGTGTTTTCCCTTTGAGGTATTTTAAGTTTTTATCTGTAGAGCAGTGAAGGGAAACTGTAATCTTGTAACAGGGTCTATGTGATTTGGAGGCAATAGGCAAACAACTATGAGGAATGGATCACAGAGCATCTAATGTAATGATTAATGCTGGGTGTGCTGCAAGCTTGCTTTATTTTCATTTCTCCCCATCCCTTCTTCCCTGATTGAATTGATAAAGTTTATAGGAGCACTTTCACTCCTGGTAACTATATCTTGGTCTTGAATTAGACTGTCAGTATAGACAGGAAATGTGCACTGCTCATAGTTGATGCTTCATACATATTTTTGGGGGAAAAAGTTCTTACAAATTACTCCTCCTGATCTCTGAAATTTTATTTTGAAATCACTTAAGTAAAACCTTTGAACATTGTTACTTACCAGCTGCAAAAGTTTAAAATGTGAAATTTACCTCAGTACAACCCCTCTTGAATGATTTAATTTTATACTCTAAAAGCAACATTTCATCCTGTTTTTTGGCAAAAAGTAATTGAAGCCAATTATTCTTTTCTTTTTCATAATCCCACATGTACAGTTCTTAATTAAGCACAATTAAAATCAGCTTTTTCTGTCTTATTTTGTATTCTCATTCCATATGCTATATGTTCTTTATTTCTATTAAAAAGATGTACTTTTAATAAAAATGGATTTTTCTTCCTTTCTTATATTGCTATGATTTTATAGCTTCCAAATCCATTCTTATTAGGTTCTGGTGCTGGTGATTATTAAGTTCTTCACACTTATCTCATAGCGGAGCTTAAGGTAAGATAAAGCAAGTGACAATTCCCAACCTTGCCTAGACTTGAGGAAGAGAGTCAGAATAATACTGGTAGAACTTGAGCTGGAATGACTCTAGATTTAAGCAAAATTTGTGTTTCTTTGGCCATTAATTCAGAACGAAGGATGAGTCTGTGTCAAGTGTGCCTCCTGAAGTCCTTTGAGATTGCCTATGTACTCACGGGCTCATTCCAGTCTGTGAAAATCCTTTTTTAAACCAGCCTGAAACCCAGAAGCCTCATAAAAAAGGGGAGAAAAATCAATGCAATTAGTTTTCATGTATACTTATGTCTTCCTTATGTTGTTTGTTGATTCTACATTTTAGTGTGATGTCAGGCATAATGCCTCCATCTTTGAGCAGGAAGTAATGGGTTACCGGTGGGCCTTGATGCTGACCTTTTGCCCTGGGAAGCTTGGCTCCAGCTGGAGCAGCTGAGGTTTCCAGACTGGTTACTTCTGCTCCATATCGCCTGCTCTATTTACCCTCAGTGAGCTATACAATCTACCACAGTTTTCTGTGTACACCATGATTTTAAAAGGATGGGAAGCACTGGTTTAAACTATGTGATAATGATGAGAAATGCCATCTACAGGTAGACCTGCTATAAGACAAGCCTATTATATTCTTATTTAAAATACTTATTTATATCTGTGGCTCTTAAACTGTGTTGCATATTAAGTTCAACTGGGGAGCATTTAAAATTCTTTTTGTTTTGTTTTGTTTTGGAGACGGAGACTTGCTCTGTTGCCCAGGCTGGAGTGAAGTGGCACAATCTCGGCTCACTGCAACCTCCACCTCCCAGGTTCAAGTGATTCTCCTACCTCAGCCTCCCAAGTAGCTGGGACTACAGGGGCACACCACCGTGCCCCTGTTAATAAAAAATAATAATTTTTGTATTTTTAGTAGAAATGGGGGTTTCACCATGTTGGCTAAACTCTTCTTGAACTTCTGACCTCATAATCCCAAAGTGCTTCCACCACACTCGGCCAAGCATTTAAAACTCTTGATGCTCAGGCTGTAACCCAAAGAAACTGCATCTTAATTTCTGAGGGTGGGATCTATCTGGTGAAGTAGTGATTTGTAGTTTCTATTATGATTCTTAGTAGTAGGGGACAAATACAGAGTTCTCTGAAACAGTCCTGATTTCAACTATCCTTTTAGAGTAAATCAATGTATTAAATGTGGAGCTAAATGTGCAAATTATATGTATCTAGATACAATTCAATTGTTATAGCTTAATACTTTTTCACATAAAGGATTCACAAAACAGGAGCGAAAATTGTTGATTTAATATACCAAAGTAATATCCCGTCAACCAGAGTGGTAGATACAAAAAGCCTTATGTAGTCACTTTAGTTTGTTTACTTTTGTTTTTGTTATGTGACAACTGAACAAAATGTAAAATGGTTTTTCTGTGTTACTTATTTCTTGTGCTGTTAATCAGGAAGGAAAAAGAAAGCACTGGTTTGAGTGAAGGGAATCACATGAGCTTGCACTGTGGGTGCTTTTATGCCTTGCTTTGGGAGAGCTATATGCACAGCAAGGAACCTGGGTGAAGATTTGATTAAAAGGATGGATGATTTTGTTCTTAGGCTGTGAACATCTGAACAGGATACATGGTAAAAAATAACTAAATAAAAAACTAAGTAATTCTCTGGGAAGACTGAACCATGGGGAACAAATTTAGAGAACAGACGCCTGAAACTCTAGCAATTCTTTAGTATAAACTGTTTTGCTATGGTATTTAATGATTTTCTCTAATAGTGTATATCACTTAGGAATATAATCGCACTGAAGAATCTCTGATGATTATTTCAGTCATTAAAGGAAGACGCTTTGTTTTGACCAAGTGTTTTTAATTGTTTGACAAATCAACTTCAGTGGGTTCAAAACTTTCTGAATTTATGCAATAAAATTTTGTGTTAACATCTTTAGTGAATTTGTTTGGGGAAAGAGTTCATTGTTTTTCATTAGGTTCTCACAGAACTGTCTGACCTAATGAGATTAGACATCACTGTTTACTTGATCCAAAATATATCATACTGACTTACTAGACTCCAGATTACTACTTAAATGTAAGTCCCCGAGGGCTGAATTTGTTTGCATTTGCCTTTTATCTCATTCCCATATTTAGTAATATTTTAAATTGATATAATGAGTATATTGTACATATTAGGAAACAAAAAATAATAAGAGTTGCTTTAGTACTTTTTTTTTTTTTTTTTTTTTGAGACTGAGTCTCACTTTGTTGCCCAGGTTGGAGTGCAGTGGCACAATCTTGGCTCACTGCAACCTCTGTCTCCTGGGATTCTCCTGCCTCAGCCTCCCAAGTAGCTGGGATTACAGGTGCCTGCCACCACACCTGGCTGATTTTTGTATTTTCAGTAGAGACAGGGTTTCACCATGTTGGCCAGGCTGGTCTTGAACTCCTGACCTCAAGTGATCCACCCGCCTCGGCCTCCCAAGGTGTTGGGATTATAGGTGTGAGCGACCACTCCCAGGACTTTAGTCATTTCTTTGACTTAATTTTGGTAGAGAAATGCTGAGGACCAGTCAATATTCACTCTGATAGCACTGTGCTACCAGAATCTCCTTTTGTGGCCTTTTGCAAAAGGAAGATGCAGCTGCAGATGCTGCATAATAACAAAAGGGAGAAAAATATCCACAAGCCCACTAAAGAAAAGCAAAAGGAAGGCTGCTGGAGACTGGAAGATGAAAAACCAGAAACATCCTCGAACCATCTACTTCCATATTTTGACTTGCTGTTTTTATTCCTTTTCGTTGGAGACAGCTGTGTTCTCTCAATAGATGAGCAATTGTGTGCTGTTAATTTTAATTTAACCTGTGAATCATGGTGATTAGAAGATCTATAACCCAGGCATGCTAATTAAACACCCTTTGTGTGAGTTCTAAGAGTAGAGAAAAGCCTTTCTTCGATGTCTGTCAGATGGCCATGTTTCGTATGCCCTTGGCCTCATCTAGCAATCATGACATTACATTACGCTTTATCTTCTAGTACCAGTTTTACATCATGTTCCTGTCCATGTTAAGGCTTTTCAGAAACATAGACTGAGCTGGAGAAAATATATCTTCATGCATTGCCTTGTTGCTCTTTTGGAGGAACAAGAGGCTGTGTGCATGACAAACAGCACTGTCTGCAACATACATGCCAAGGCTCATTTATTTAAAGATTTACCATTCATCATTGTCAGAGTTCCTGTGGGCATTACTGTCACTGTCTTATGTGCATTGTGAGTTCCTCCAAGTGTTCAGAAGAAGACTAAATCCCACTGTGACTTAATGCAAGAGTAGGAAATATTTTGTTTGCTTTAATTTTCCCGAAATGGATTTCTTTGTTGTTTTTTTTTTAAAAAAATTACTGTAGACCACTGAACTATGTAGATCATACTTTATGCCTATGTTTAGTGGTTTCTGATGTTTTATAGTTTTTATTCATTTTGTTTTATATTTCACCTCCCACCAGATATACACAGATCTTATACAGGGAATAAGTAACATTTCATCAACATTTCTTATTGACACTACAAATTTAAATCAACAAGATGTATGTCCATTTACAAACACTTCAAGGAGATGATCCACAAATCAGCAATTGATACTGAATTATTTACAGTGAATTTTTCATAAAACAACATCTGCTTTTCTTTGTACTTGGAAAATCTAGTTCATTTCCCAGAGATTTTTAACCTTTGGGAAAAAATCCACTGAGAAAAAGCTAATGATAAAGAGCAGTGAGTCACCTCTTCGAAGTCATTAGTCAAATACTTGAATTTATATAAAATATACACTTACATAAATTATGTGATATATATTTTTGTTGACTATGCACTAAAAGCTGTTAAGTTGCTCAGCTGTTAAGTTTCCCTCTCCACAATCACATCTCCAACTCTGACTAGCCAGCATCACAAATTTCATGTCTAAGAGATACTCGACGAAGAATAAGCATTAGGGTTTACAGTAAACATCTTCAATTCATCCAGCCTAATTTCAGATAATATTCTATACTTACCCTATATAAACCCTATATTATTATATATACCCTATATTATTATAGCATGTAGTATATATAGATTTACACTATCTCATGTAAGAATACTACATGAGAATAGTCTCAGTTTCTCTCTTCTGCTTTTTCTACTGTTGTTATCCTATATTTTATTTTACATATGATATATACATATGCAATGTATTGCTGTTTTTTCCTTTAGAACAGAGGTTGGCAAACTAAAGCCTATGGGCCAATAGCAGGTTGCAATTTATTTTTCTGAATAAAGTTTTATGGGAACACAGAACATCCATTTGTTGACATGTTGTCCATGGCTACTTTTGACTAGTTGTAACAGGGACCTGAAAAGCCTAAAATATTTACTATCTGTCTCTTTAGAAAAAAAAGTGTGCTAATCATATTTCATAAATTTCTGAGTAATTTAAAGTGAGAGAAAAGTCTTTTGCATTTATCTTTATTTTAACCATTCCTAAAGATCTTAACTTTTGTATACATGTGAATAGACCTGAGTTTCTGTCTGGCTTCATATTCTAGAGAGATTTTCACCTGAAAAATTCCTTCAATAATTTTTTGTGGTGCAGGTCTGCTGGTAATACATTTTCTTAGTTTTGTTTGTCTGAAAAATATTTCTTTTCACTGTTATTGAATTCTGGATATATAAGCTTTTGTTTCTGTTTTGGTTTTAATTAGGAACTTTGAAGATGTTATCTTCTGGGTCACATAATTCATGACAAGATGTGTACTGTATTTGTTACCTTTATCCTTCTTTATGTAATATATCTTTTATTTCCCCTCTGGCTGACTTGAAGATTTATTCTATTTTCATTTCTATCAGTTTAAATTTGATATGTATAGGTGTTGTATGTTGTATTTATCATATCTGGGGTTCTATGAGCTTCTTGGATTTGTGATTTGAAGTTCTGGAAAATTCTCTGACCTCTCTTTGCAGGTATTTCT